ACCCCCGTTCCTGATGTCTATAGCCAGCGGTCACTTCGCTATAGAATCCAGTCAACTGGCGGACTCTCGCAAGCTCGTTTGTCACCTGATATTACATAAAGATACATACAAAAAATGCATCCATCCATCAAACCGTCACGTTTAAAACGAAATTCTGTCTCAAACATTATTAAATTTAAATTAGCTATTTCAAAATTTTAATTTCTATCTGTATTTTGCGATATTCACAAATTTTAAAATAATTCAAATTGAATTAATTCTTGTTTCACGTTAAGTCAAATTTACCGTTGACTAAAATCCGTCAAATTGGAAAATTGCGGTCACCACATTAATAGGATCTAACAAGATACTTCCTTATAAAGATCGTAAAGAACTTCATTGGGTCGTTTACTTTTCCGGTCACAACTTACACATACATAAATTATCTAGAATTAGTGCTAACTAAGGTAATATATTAACTGTTGCCCGCAACTGTGTTTGCGTGGATGATTAACCAATACGATATTCCAGACTGAATGAATGAAGGTACACTTTACCATCAACCCTTGTCTCTACAGAGGATCAGATCTATTTCTTTTATTACATAAGGTGACTAACGAGCCACTTGAATCGACGGAGGAGGAGACGCACATAAAGAGGACGTTTCCATTTCCTATGAGTGTCCTGCACCGTCAAATCCATGTTCCCTTTCTATCCTTTTCTTATATGAAAAAGGGTGTAGAAGGAAATAGGTCTAAAGTTGGGCCCCCGGCTCTACACTAATCAGTCGAAAGGCGTAATTGCTCTAACTTCACGCCTGTCCTCTGTGTGGTCGTGGTATTGCACCGGGCGAGCCAGCCCATTCGTGCGAAGATGTTAAAGCGGGCTCTACTGACTGTCTACTATTCCAGATCTATCATTTGCCATCGTTAAATATACACCCTTCTTGTCACATTTCACAAAATCCATCAATACATTCTTCGGACTTCCTCCATCTTAGCTCTCCACATTCAATTGTATTACTTTCTTATACTTATCTCAGTATTAATTTTAAACTAGATCTGATTAGATGTTACAAATATCCAAAGATCCATCTAAACTGTAAATAAGTCTTTCATGACATAAAAGTGACATTAATCATTTACCACTTCAAATAAATAAAAATTACACAAACTCAATAAGAAAGGGATTTGATTCGAATCTCCAGCCAAAATAGGGAATAATTACATAACCATTGATTTTTTGCCGCTTTTTTGTCCTAATTAACTTGGAACTACCCTCATTAAATAGGTCGAAAAGCAAGTTACTATTTATACCTATATTCTTATCGATTGTAATAAATTCATTCAAGAAGTTATTGATGTAAGCCTTACTTACCTCAAATTGAATGTTATGTAACAATGAACACTCAAAGAAGCGTGAAAAATTTTCGATTGTTTTTACGTAATGGATAAAAGCTTGAAACTTACAAAAAGATATAGAGATTACATACCTTACGTTGCTGACAAAGATTGAAAAATTAAAATTGTGTTTTAACTATTATTCGAAGCACTTTTTGATTCGACGCCTTGAGATCGCTCTATTAAAAATACGTATAGTGTATTACTACCCAAGATAACATGATAGAAAATTGAAATTACTAATGTTCTGTTGGTTATACGTAATCCAAGTATCATAACATAGACATTACATTGGGTGACATCAACCATTAGCATATACAAAATTTAAATGTGTTTGTAAAAGCGCGTGAAAGGCTT